TACATGAAAAAATAGTGACTCTCCACAGCATTGTCAACATGTTTTACAGCATAACCATAAATCGTGTTGGCAGTGGCCTACTATTCTGATAGTAAATGGAGACACATTTCTAATGGAGAAATAGTTCTCGACAGCTTTGTGAACATTACGTCACTGATATGAAATATGGATATATTTCTAATGGTTGAATATATGAAGAAATAATGATTCTCCATAACATCGCCAACAATGTTTACAGCGTTATTAATAATAATAATAATAATAATAATAATAAGCAATTAATTTATTAGATGATATTATTTCTATGAAACTTTCTGTTCGTTACATAAAGTTAATTGTTTTGGCTATCCTGCCACTCGAACCTTGGAGGAACTTCACACAGTTTCCAAAGAAAACACATCCAATACTAAGAACAATACACCAAAGAAAAACCGGTTTCAAGTGAATCTTACAGAAACTAGAAAGTACAGTTCCTGGATAGAGCTTTGCCTGAAGAAAAGATCATCAGGGAGTCCAATGTCAAAACGACAAAAGGCAATTTGGAGAAAATTAAAACTGAAATACAAAACAACGAAAGAAAAGATATTTCTCCAAATTGTCGATTCCCTTAAGGCAAAAATAAAGGTTTGGTCTGAAAGAAAGAAAAAATGGGAAAAGAAAAATAAATTCATCAAACAAAACATACTTTTTAGAAATAATGAAAAACACTTCTACAGGCAACTTAAAACTAACGGTGATGGTGCGCATGATAAGCGGCCTCCCATGGATGCCAATGAAAGGTTCTGGAAACAGTTGTGGTCTGTACCCGGCAACTGTAACCCGGATGCACCATGTGTCAGTGATTATGACCGTGCAATGAATGAGAAAGTAACTAGGTCGTTTGTCTGTTACATCTCACCAGATTGCCTGACAAATGTCATCAAAAGTCCAAATCTATTACAGCTCCATTACCGCAACCTCTCCGTGTGCTGGATTGACTACAAAAATGCATACGACTCTGTCCCTCATAAATGGATTCTGAAGTCTCTTTGTTGTATTTACCTCCCTGAGCGACTACTTGATTTAATCAAGTCTTTAATGAGTTGCTGGTCGACTCAACTTGAGATGTACTCGCAAGGGCAGGTGCAGACTTAGGAATCTATTCCAATCAGAAGGGGAATTTTCCAGGGGGACTCCTTCAGTCCTTTGCTTTTTTGTTTGTCTCTAAATCCTTTGAGCTTTCTGCTCAACGGAGGGAAGGGATACCATCCCTGACCTCTTCAGCACAGATCCCCAATACCGTTTACTCATCTCCTTTACAGGAATGACATCGAGCTCCTTGCCAAAGGAGATGCCAATTTGAAAGAGCAGGTTCTCCTTGTCGAGTCCTTTTCTAATGATATTGGCATGACATTTGGTCTCGACAAATGTAATACTCTTCATTTGAAACGTGGCAAGGCAGTTAATGGTGGATTGGTCAAGTTACAGGGAAGAGGAGTTATTGAGCATCTTGTTGAAGATCAGGCCTACACCTATCGTGGAATGCAAGTTCGAGACAAGCTCCAGAGTGCCCAAATTAAAAAAAAACGTCGGGCCGAGTACAAATCTCGCTTAAAGGTCACATGCAACCAAAAAATCAAACATAATTAAAACACAATTATCACTTAGTCATGACATATAATATACATTGCTGGTTATGAAAAAACATATAAACAAAATTATAAGCGTACAATCGCAAATCAAAAGTGCAATATTGTGTACTTCGGTTTACTTCCCAAGAAACGAAGCAGCCGGGATACCGAACCGAGTCAGAGCGGGTGGGTGTGCACTCAAGTGTAACGGCTGGTTCATTTGCATATGCCCTCACGGCTTATTGTGTGTGTATATGTACAGATGTTGGGTTTTGTAAATACATGCTCATTTTTTTGTGTATAACATTTTGCAATCAACAGACATCAAAACATGTCATGTGTTCAACTATCACACCTGCCTGTCTGAGTGACAGAGACCGAACTCGGGCCATAAATCAATGCATTTTGTTTATGGTGTATAGCCTGATTGGTGTTAAGTTCAAATTGCATGTGGTCAGTGACAGCAGCTGTGTATTGAATATTGTCATTAGCAGACAGGCAGGCAGACACACAGGTGTCAATAAAACAAGACACTGAGTTTTGTCTATGACAACGACATATCTATATCACAGTTAGAAATTCTGTCAACGCTAAATAATGACATTGCTTTTAAGTATCGAACTGAGAAAGTGACTCGGTAAGAAGAACGTGTGGTGAAATTAATTTACTGTCATAACATACCAAAAGCTCGCGCCTGTGAGATATAAACAAAACATTAGAAAAATAGCTCACACCAAAGCCTTCACCGAGTATTCACCGGACAACCCACTTCCAAGCTGCGCGAACCTATTTCACTGCGCACGTGCTATGAAAGCGCAGCCCAGCTGTTGAAACCCGTTTTCCCCGGAAAAGTCTGGGGAAAATTAGTGAAACGTTTGAACTCCGATTTCGCGCGGTTTTTTTCATCGCGTTATTTTTCAACTTTATAAGTTGAATTTGCATTTTTGACGATTTGTTTCGGTAAGTCCATACCGAAAGGTATCAGAATCTGCAAAGTTGTGTTTTACGTTGCATGTGACCTTTAAAGAAAATCTGGAGCTCAGAGCTAAATGCTCGAAACAAGGCCAAAGCCACCAATACTTTTGCTGTGCCAAACCTCTCCTATTCCTTTGGAGTAGTTGATTGGACAAAACAAGACATCCAGAGTCTTGACCGCCTGACCAGAAGGATCATGTCTGATAACAGAGCCCACCACCCTCGTTCCTCTCTCAATCGTTTATACATGCCAATCAATTCTGGAAGTCGGGGTTTGATTAATGTGGAGGCTCTTCATGATAGAAGTTTATTGTGTACTTTTGCACATATTTATTTGTCGGATGATCCACTGGTAATGCATGTCAAGACTGATGATGAAAGCAAAGAATTCCACAGCTATTTTAAGCGTGCCAAGGTTGTTGGACAGAATCTGAAATTTGAGGTTGAAAACTGAGGGCTTTCTTTTTGCTGCTCAGGACCAGTCACTTCCCACTCGTAATCGCCAATGTGTGATTCTTAAAGAAAATATCAATATGAAATGTCAATTGTGCAATGAATTCACAGAGACTGTCCAACACCTTGTCAGTGGATGCCCTTCCTTGGCACAAACATCATATCTTAAAAGACATGATAGCATGGCTCGCTGCTTTTATTACCGTCTCCGCCATGCCTGTGGCTTTGACTCCGAGGTCTATCCATGGTACGACCCTGAACATGTCCAGGGCGTCATGGAAAATGATGCTTTTAAACTTCTGTGGAATAGGTCTATATACAGCCTCAGAAGAATTTCAGCCAACAAACCTGATCTTGTCCTTTTTTTGATAAAGCTAATGAATTTATTTATATCAATATCATTGACTTTTCTGTCCCTTTTGACAGCAATGTGATTGGCAAGATTCAGGAAAAGCATGATAAATATGCGGACCTCGCCTTTGAAATGTCTCGTTTACATGCCAAGTACACTGTCGTCAGACTCACCATTGTTCTCGGTGCCCTAGGTTTGGTACCTCCTGATCTCTTGGCGCAGATCAGGAGAGTGCACGGGTTCTCCACCGGGAGCACAGCCCTTCTGACACTCTGGGTAATGCAGAAGGCTGCAGTGTTGGGGAGTCTACATATTCTCCGGAAAGTTCTTGGTGGTTTCGGCTAGGCAGCGTTTCCTGGGAGAAGTCCCATTCGCTGTCTGGGCTGCGTGTAGAGGGGGCAAGGGACCTGAGCTGATGATGAGCCTTACCAGCCAGGATCACCCGAACCCTCTCTGCTGCATACTATCTTTAATCTGTAAAACATCATGCTAATTTTTGCGCCTAGAATCCAACACGATGCTGCTCGCTGGCGTTACATTATTACCCTGACGGAATTGCACTTCCTATAGGTCCGTGCATCCGCTTCTCAGGTACTCATTTCGAACAGCTGGGTGGACTGAGTGCAATGTGGACGAAGTGCCTTGCCCAGGGACACACCACAGTATGAGACCCAGGTCAAACATTTTGGTGACTCCACCGGGATTCGAATCCGAGCCTTTGGCGTGAGAGGCCAGCATGCTAACCACTACACCACCGTGCTCCACATGAGTCTTGTTGGTAGTGGCTCCGTCAATATTAATAATAATCATCGGCTACTTACAAATTCTCTTGGTTCCTTGTACCTTTACAAGACTCAGTCACCGCATTGAGAATGAGCCATATGCTTTGGTCGACCTCAGTCGACCGGATCAATCTACCTGCGGGACCAATTAAAATCAGGATAATTTCACCGGCAGGAACCAAAACAAAACCCGGATCTGTCTACCGGTAAAAACAACTTAAATAGTATCCTTAACACACTATTAGTTACATGTAAGTTTCCTTTGTGAGAAATTTGAAATAAGCATATTGTTCAATTTTTGATCAAGCATTTGATCAAACACTAGGCCTGCGAACAAAAATCATTTTCGTCGAACATAGACAGTTTCCAAAACGATTCCCCATCTGTGTCCTACACACGCCTTCATCCTGGGACAATAGTAAGCAAAGTATAGAAGTTACGATCACTTAGCGCTACCACAGCTTTGTGCAACGGTGCCATGGGCAAGAAAAAATATCGCACTGTAAGATGTTATCATATCAAACATATCTTCGATCGGAAGTCACATCGACACATCCGTGCTTCCTTAGAAGATTTGTTAGTGAGCCGATCCGACGTTCGGTGAAAATTGGAAAGTGACTATTCCCCAAAGCACTGCAGTATTCTAATGCTTTGGGGAATAGTCACTTTCCAGTTTATACACCCAAGGCATACACTATCTAAGGGGCTAACGGTTTTGATGTCGTTTTTTAATTTGATGTTGGAACAAACATTATCAAAAGTGATATTTGGGAGAACGTGTCAGTGCTTTTAATGACTCCACATTCACCTTCCTATCTCTACTTTCAGTCTCTCTACACAGACGTCCATCATTCTCATGGCCACTGTCTGTCTGTGTGTCATCCCTCTGACGCTGCAGGAGGCTGGTGACGACTGTGTTCCTCCAGTCCATGAAGTTGTCCCTATGAAAGATCATGACTACATCCGGGCTATTGCTGAGTCCTCCATGTTCGAGTGTGCAGCTGAATGCAAACTCTTGCCGCTTTGCCAAGCCTTTACCTTTGACGAAGAGCAACGCGCATGTCAACTCCGAGGGAAAACTGAGTCCAGCATTATTGTCGTCAGTGGCGTCTTCTTCAGTAATATACAACAGTGGAAAATGGTTTGTGTGAAGGGTTACATGCACAGCGATCAATTACGCCACTTATGATTTATCTGGATCACACTTGGTTGAGTTAGCGGCTGAGCGAGTGAGATTGTTTCTTTGTCGCATTCAACAATATTAAAGCAATAGCAGGGCGGGGGACACCAGAAAAAGGCTTCACACAGTGTACCCATGTGTGGAATCAAACCTTGGTTTTGTGTTCTAAGACGGAGCAACGTGTTTATATTTGTGACAAAAACATGCATCAACCAAGTCAGCGAGCCTGAGCACCCGGTCCCGTTAGACGGCTCGTATGCTAAAAATGGATTGCTGTAGACAATTCTTACCCGGTAGATGAAGAAGATAACATGCATCAGAATATCGAAAGCAAATTCCAGTCTGCCATGTCGTCGATCGGAAGCATAGATTTCAAGTGCTGTAGACCTGGATGTTCTGCTCCCAAGGTTGACCTTGTGGATGGACGCCTTGGAAGGATGGCACAGATACGTAGACATTGTCTTACTACTTCCTAATAACTCATGTCAGGGATCGCTTTGAGGATGACCCCTAGGTACCATACCCTGTCCGCTATAAATACCATACCCTGTACGCCATAAGTACCATACCCTTGACGCTATAAGTACCATACCCTGTCGACTTGACGTGGTATCGGATTCGGGCGGTGGGGTAGCCTAGTGGTTAATGCGTTCGCTCGACAAGCCGAAGAGCCGGGTTCGATTCGGATACAATGTGTGAAGCCCATTTCTGGTGAATATTGCAGGAGTATTGCTAAAAGCGAAGTAAAACCAAACACTCACTGGTATGAGTTTCATTGTTACTTAGGTATGAGATGCTGAAGTCATCAACACGACCATTGTTTTTCTCAACACTGAAGAAGATTGCTATTAGTGGCATATTTACAGCAATTTCACTGCATATCTTTTTATTTATTTCAACAACGTGCGATACCAGCGACATTTAGTATATTGTGTCCCTTCGAGCTTCTCACACAGGGGCGGTGGGGTAGCCTAATGGTTAAAGCGTTGGCTCGTCACGCCGAAGATCCGGGTTCGAATCCCCACATGGGCACAATGTGTGAAGCCCATTTCCGGTGTCCCCCGCCGTGATGTTGCTGGAATATTGCTCAAAGCGGCGTAAAACCAAACTCACTCAGTCAGTCTCACACAAATGCTCTGAACCATGATACCATGAACCATGAACGTATCAAATCAGACCCGTGAATGTCCGGTTAGAATGACCCTTCAGTAACCCATGCTTGTCGTCAGAGGCGACTAACGGGATCGGGTGTCAGGCTTGCTGACTTGGTTGACACATGTCATCGGTTCCCAATTGCGCAGATCGATGCTCACGCTGTTGATCAAAGGATTGTCTGGTCCAGACTTGATTATTTTCAGACCGCCGCCATATAGCTGGAATATTGCTGAGTGCGGCAAACCAGCCAACTAAATCTTATTGCTGAGTGCGGCGTAAAACTAAACTCACTCACCGTATCGTATCGTCCAACCATGGCACTTACGCAACCTAGTTATATGTAAAATTAGTCTAGGTAAACCGGCCCGTGGTGTATGTAGATATATAACCAACATCTTGAGGTAAGTCAGCGATACGTGTATTCAACTTGTATTATTTTACTTTCAATCTATAAATCGGTATTGCTGATAAGTCATATTTAAATTGTTGTGTTTCTATTCAGGCAATGACTAGAGCCTGTGGTCAGACTTCCTGTGGTCCCCATTCTCGATGCATTGTGGGAAGGTATGGCCAACCGCTGTGTGAAGGTTCTGCAGGTAAGTATGCAATGAAAAGACAATATATGTGTATAGATTTTCGCATACATAGTCGTGAGGGAGAGAGTGTAGTTTTACGCTGTCTTTAGCAATATTTTGGGGGCACCAAAATAGGCTTCACACAGTGTACCCATATGGGGAATCGAACTAGGGCCTTCGGCATGACGAGCGAATGCATTAACCTAGGCTACCTCAGCGCCCCACGTAATCGTGAAAAACGTATTCGCGTGTTAACAATCCCGTTTACCAAGCGCATGCTCCTCATCATGTTCTCATCCTCCCTAGTCAAACGAAGTTACTCTACGCACTCAATAGTTAAGGCGTTATCTACACCTGCTTGCGGGGTAGCTTTGAGGTTAAAGCGTCCACTTAGGTACAATGAGTGAAGCACATGTCTGGTGTCCCTGCCATGATATTGCTGGAATATTGCTAGAAGCGGTGTAAAACCAAACTGACAGACCCTACTGCTTGCTTTCTAGAACAGAGAGTTTCTCGTATATCTCTCCTATGTCTCCACGGATTTCTTATCCACAACGACGGCGCTGACGTAGGTAACGTCGTACTCGCTACTTACAACGACGATGATCACGTAAACCTGCACTTGACTTTACGACAACGGTACACAAATATATCGAACGTCCCACTCAGGAAATAAAAGATGTTGTTTTCCATAAAGGTTGTCAATATTTTACTTCTAAATGCCTCTCAAAGAAGTCCATGTTAATGGACACACCTGGATATCACCATCAAGTATCTTCAATAAATTCGGAATGTCTCTAAATGAAAGTCTTCCGCCAAACAGACACCGATACCGACACGGAGTCAGATTCAGGGAATCATGCTCCTTCATGTGAAAAGATGTGGAATCTTTGAAGATGATGTTGGGTGAGGACGATCACGGCACATATTCAGTGTGCAAACATTGATCATCCATGTGTTAAGAATATTGTGAAGTAAGAGCTGAATACTACAAAGGTGTCGACGCTTCTGACTCCTGATCAGAATCTATCCAGGTTCATCATCTCCCATCAGAACTTACGTCGTCTTGAGTGGTTGGTTGGTTTGTTGTTTACAGACCGCCGTCATACAGCTGGAATGTTGCTGAGTGCGGCGTTAAACAACAAACAAACAAAATCAAGTACCAAGCTGAAGCATATTCCACAAAGACATTGTAGGGAAAGTCGTTGTGGCTGATTAATAGGTGCGTGTCTTTCTCAGTAGTGATCATTGTGCGGAAGACTTGGGTCAACTGAGGTGCTCAAATTTGTCCTGAATAATACCTCGTGTCCAAATACATATCTGACCAACATTATCAACAGCAGAAAAATACCATAATCTGTGAGTTTACCTGCAAGTTCATGAGTGAATAGATCTACATGGGATCCATCTCCAGAGGACTAGATGATGGAAATCAGACAATGACTTCAATCTGTTCGTACCCACTTGCCTCCCGCTAAGGAACTATAACGATGTAATTCTGGAAACAAAAAAGTCCTGAAACTCACCGCACTACCATGACAAAGGATTTGACCAAATTCAACATGTTGTTATCATGAAAAAATTAAAACAAAATATTTCGAAAGCAAACAATTTAAACAACCTCGCCCATGAGCTGGTCCATGGGCAATAATATGTACTTTAGCTCAAGTGAATGTTTTTTTCATGTGTTGGAGGTTGTAAATGAATGAAAGTATCATAACATTAAACTCCTTTTGACTTAATTCGGCTAATTTAGAGTGTTATGTCTCACCCATTGGCGAGAATATTAATATTTTGCTCCAAACGAATAATGTTCATGTTTTGAAGGTTTGTAAATGAATGAACATATCTTTTTTAGTATCATGACACAACATATAAATCATTTTTACTTAATTCGGCTAATTTAGGGCGTTATTAAATTATGTCGCCGGATCTGACGGGATCGGGTGGTCAGGTGACTTGGCTGACACATGTCTTCACATCCCAATTGCGTAAATCGGTGCTCAATTGGTTGATCAATGGATTTTCTGTTCCAGACTCGATTATTTACAGACCTCCACCATTTAGCTGGAAAATGGCTGAGTGCGACGTTAAGAAGCAAACAAATAAAGCAAGTCTTTGTAGACGATATAACATCGATTGATTATTAACTACAACTGTAGTAGGTAATGGTTAATCAGCTACATCACAGCAACATATCAATACTCGAACACACAGACAAGGTATTTAACACAAAAACCAACTGATGCGATCGTTCACAGGAAACCAGGGCATCAAAAGGTTCACTGCCAGGGATTACGAGACTAATTTCAAACAGCATTTCGAACGCCGGGCATGGGACGCAGCTTTACAGATCTGTCAGGCAGAAGGTGGTTCCCTGGTCAAGATCAACACTTCAGATAAACAAGACTTTGTCATTCGTATCATCGATATGAAGAAACCTTTCTTTGGCGGAGGTATGTTCATTATTGCAAAAGCCAGTGTGTAGTGAATGTACTGAACTCAATAGCTATTGGTAATCCATGCGCTGTGCTGTCATCTCGAGCTCTCCGTGCATTAAACCAATAAAGGAATGGTGATATACATTTATGTTTATCTTGTAAATGCAACATATGTTAAATTTCGGATTATGCTCTCTCAAAAAAGTACAAATTCTAGTACTTTTGTTGGATTGAGTGCCATCTGGAATTCGAACCCACACTCTCAGAGTGAGATACCTAATCGCCAGTGCTCAAAGTCAGTCATCTAACCCACTCAACCACCGATGGGACATGTGAAACATTTAACTACTTTTACATTCGTTGTAAATTCCAATCAAAGAAGACTTCACATGACTCAGTTTTTTTCGCTTCAGTGAATATTTCGCAGAGTATTTATTTTGCAGATTATTTGTGGATTGGTCTGAAGGATGTTACAAAGACCAACACGTTTTTGTGGACAGACAACAGCTCTCTGAAACACAATCGCTGGGGTGGAGGCCAGCCATCCAACTTGTCGAGTGGTCGAGGCGGTGAACAACCTGAAGACTGTGTGGCGCTGGTGTCCCACCGTGTGCTTGGCTGGTATTGGGATGATCGCACGTGCAGTGAGAAGAGTAAATTCTTGTGCGAAAGACCAATGGAATAAATAAGTTACGGTTGTATTGACGCTACCCTGAAGCCTTTGGCGTTGATTCCTGTCTATTGAAATAAACCCGTGAAGATCCTGGTAGAACTGAACTTTAGCGATCCATGTTTGTCGTTGGAGGCGACTATCGGGATCGGGTTTGTTACCCATGTCATCGGGACCTGTGAAGATTGATGTTCATGATATCAATCACTCGATAATTTACAGTCCGTCTTCATGTATCTGGAATACACAAAGCGATAATAATTCTGACCAAGGTGTCGTTCGGAAACTAGCTACATCACCAAGACGCTCACAACGCTCAAGATTTCCCATTACTCACTCATGTAGTTAATGTTTGGTGGAACAACACTCTGATACAAGTGTTAATCATTCTAGGATTTATTGGATCAGACCATGCCATTATCAGTCTGTGGTGAAAAGTCTACTCTCAGACCGCATTCCCTGAGGATTAACATGTCCCACCTTATGTATGTGTCTATACTCTGTACGTTCACACAATCAGGCAGCGCTAATCCGTACTACGCTTGTCCTACTGGCATCTCTCGTATAACAGTTTTCGAATAAAATATTTATGATCGTTGTTTGATATTAGTTTGTTTTCTCATAGCACTAACGGTCCCGAAGGCGGGTTTCTCGTTTAACAGGTCGATGACTTGGTAATACGACCTTCTGGTAGCACAATGTGCAGTCTCGATGCTAACGCCTTTTGTCATTATCTGTCCGCTTTGGGTTTCTGATGTCAGCATTAGAAGGTGATAAAGAAATGCCTCCAGTGCTGAAATAATGGACGTGCTGATGCTTACTCAGTAAACACAACCCCCTTGATAACCGAAAGATTAGGTTGAGGTTTAATTACGTCTGTGTACGAATGGTAACGTCACCATTAGCAGTCTAGGTCATTTGATTTTAGTACTTTACCCCATTTGACAATGTATTAGCACATACTATACGGGGACACGAATGGTCTATCAGTCTTTAAGGCAGGGATTCAAAAATTATTTAAAACGCCAGTTGCCACAGGGCAAGTGTCTGTAAGAAAGGAACTTGCCCTGACTAATTTTCCACTTGCCCTGATGTTTATGACATAATCATAGAACAGTCTCTGACTCTCATATTATAGAAAAGGTATTTATTTATTGTTTGAATCAACTTGCTTTTAGCATCAATGTTTCTGTAATTATGTAAGTCCACACCAACTCTGTCAAGCAAGTCTAAGCGCATTGCAAACTCATTAAGTGGTTTGCTGTCACAAACAATTTCTCAATTTGATCGTAATTCGTTTTGACCATGTGTTTAAAACACTTCAAAACTTTCCGTCCGTCCCTACTTTATCTTAGCTTGTTCCAACCTCCAATCACTGGTTTCACTGCTGTGAATATAATATGACAAACACTGGGCATGAAGTGCTGAACTATCGTGAATTTTCAGATATTCTACTCTGAATTTTTTCTACTCTGAGCACCCATTTACAAAAGTATTCTTTTACCCCATGCTTCGTGGATACAGACGGAAATCGTGCAAAACATTATCAAGTTATGTTGTGTTTCATTCATTCGTCCATAGTTCCATCCACTCGTCAATCATCCATCCTGCCTTTATACCTTTCTTTAATCAACAAATCCATCCACACACCCTATGACTCTCCCATCCGCCCATCAATTATTCATCCTGTCTTCCTTCCTTCCTTCAGTCCAATAACAAATCCACACACCCGATCAATCATCCTTTCTTTATCCTATGTCCGTTCATGCCATCCGTCTATCGACCCACCAACCTATCCAACAGTTATATATTTGATTCGAAATGTTAGAAGTTTGTACATAACGAGTGTCGGCGTGAAATAACACCTTGGTTGATCAATACTTACACAGTGACTATAAATACCCTGATATTAAATCGATTCCGAAAGATATTATACGACTTCAACAGAGCATTGATATTTGCATGTTATGAGTTTCCTTACTTTTGAATCGAAAATGAAAGGACAGGAGGCCAGTCAAACAGAAGCATTATTACATAAACATACGGACTGATTAGCACCGTTGTTACTTGTTTTCACTTCTTTGTTAATAATTGGAGATCAGTATGCCTCATTATTGATTTGTCCATGTTTCAACGCCTTTAGATCTAAATATGTACAAGGTACCTAATACTTAAACAAACATCAGTACATTCAGTGTGATATCTTCTAATTGGGAGAGCATTATAATGAATTTTACAACCTTTGTGAGCTCATGTCCTAAACGTAAATCTGACGCACGCTTCTGGCACCAAATCAAATGTCTGTCTACTGGACTGAGATTTGGTATCTCCTATCTCTTAGTGAGAGAGTCCTTGATGGTTCTATAAATCCGCTTTCTCAGACCATATCTAAGAGACAGACTACTGTAACGACCTCAACGTACTTGCCAGAAATCATACTAGAAGATTAGGATATTCCGGGAAGTCTCAAACCAGTCACCAACAGAAATAAAGGTCATTGTATCCCAAGTTTATGTTTTGTCTGTAATTAAACGCTGCACTCAGCAATATTGCAGGTATGTGGCGACCGTTTGCAATTACTCGAGTCTCGACCAGACAATCCAGTGAGCAACATAATCAGCATCAATCTACACAATTGGGATTCGACATGCAATAACCAAGTCAGCAAGTCTGACCATCCGATCTTTATTCGCCTCGTACTACAAGTATGGGTTGCTGGAGACCAATTCTAAGCCGGATCTTAGGTCCGCATCACAGTAATTACCATGAGCTCATCATCATACAGTCTTATTTGTACTTTTAAGTATACCATTCACATACTATTTTTGACTATTCTCGTCCAAATCATATCAATGACTGTGCTGTTTTATAAAGACACGATAAACAACAAAGTACAACACACTGGAAGAACACAATAGCTCGCTGGCAACTAAATTGATTACCATAATAGGCACCATTGGAACGTCAGTTACCTCTGCTACCACCATGGTATCCCAGTATGATTTGCATCATCACTCAAGTTGCTGGCGATAGTTTGAAACCTTAGCCAAAACATTCATGCGGCAAATACACTATGTTTAAAACAGTGGTGAATATACGCATCTTTGAAGGACATACACATACTTTATATACCCGATGACTCAGGACAGAGAGACAGAGACGGATGCTGGTATACACAATTTCAGGAATGACCAGACTTCAGCCAGAGACATTGTAATTTACTGTCGATATAGCTAACTGCGCGATCCATGGTAATTCGGATTCCCATGATGAAGTACATACCAGATGACTGACGTCGTAATGTCTGACACAAAACGTGTTCATTGGTCGGAACAACGGTTTCTGTGCTGGAGGAATGACATGTTAATTAGCAGCAATAAATCATCGCTGTTTGTAGACTGGAATGAGCCAGTCCTTTCCTTCGTTGTTGACACAGGAAGCGACGACCGGCGGGCAATATAGGACCAGCTATCAGTTGCCGTAAAGGATGATCACTCTCCGTATTGAATAAACTTAAGGGTCGTTCAAGCAGTGTACTTGTGACGACAGTGGAAAATGTCCCGCATTTAAGGTCAGTGACAGGAATGTTTATTCACTTCGTTAAAACCAACGTTTTAGTTTGGCTGACTCAGATGCTATGATGAATATCAATATTATTATAATTTATAATTTATGGATTTCTCCTATTCATTACAGACAATGTCTGTATTAATTTGGTTAGGATTGCTAGAACTCTTTGATTGATATGTCCCCGGCGCCAGGCAATAAAAACCTCACCTTCAGTTTAGGCAAGGCGAAGGTCGGGTTTGAGGTTACCTATAATGTTCCATCCCATAGACAGGGGACAACACCATTCCGCCCTCGCTCACCAAGAGTTGGTCTAAACATGCCCCCGCGCCTCGCATTGTTTCCAAATCCATTCCCTGACAAAATAGGGCTACAATTGACCCTACCAAGCTTCAATGTACTTCCATCCTAAATTCCTTGCCTGCTCGGGCAGGATGCTCAATATCCTCTCACTTCCACTCCTCAAGCCTCACTCATCCACTGATCCATCCCTTTGGGATCCCAAGAAACAGACACATCCCAACAACAATATCTTGTCGTTAAAGGTGAAAAGGAAGTCATTGATCAGGTGTTCATGCCCCTTGATTTCATAAAAGAGGAAGCTGCTTATCCTTTACGCGAACACCTGGTTCTCAGTGGTCCATTCTTATAACTTTCACAGCTGGTTTGCCCTTTACACCTAATTTAATCTCTTTATAAGGATAGTAAAGGCTGGGTATATTTGTGCAGTATCAATTATACATTTTTACAATATCAGACAGGGGTTTCGTGGGTCTAGATTCGAACATTCTATTGAGAGTCCTCTGTCACGCTTGAATATAAGTGCGAGGTTAATCAAACCAAATCCAACACATTGGATGAGTGAGTGAGTGAGTGACTGAGTTAACTGCTACGCCGATTTTAGCAAGAATCCAGCAATATCAATGCGGGGACACCAGAAATGATCTTCACACATTGCAACCATGTGGGGATCGATCCTGGGCCTTTGGCGTCACGATCGAACACTTTGACCACTAGGCTATCCCATCGCCTCCTGGATGATTCAGTAGATATACTTTGCGAAAGCAAACTGCTTTCTGAAGAGAAGAGGAAGAAAATATATGTGTACAAGACAATGTATTGGGAAAAGTTTAATGACATTAAATGGCTTAGTTTTACCGTTCATCAGACATGCGCTGAAGAGGAGTGAGAGAGTTACTGCTGTGGAAATATTGAGCTGAAAGTTGAAGTTACATAAGCTATACACCTCCTGCTGAGGATAAACAGACATCCTAATTATCGAATAATTATCCAGACTGCAAAGAAAGAAGTGCCACAGTGGAACTGTGTGGTGTTATATGATCATGTCGTTTCTGATCACCATGACATATACACTCGTATACTAAGTGGATGTTCCGTTCCATGATTGCTTTCTCTTACCAAAAATGAAATTTCAAAAGCGAAGGAGAAGAAAATCAAACCAAACTTTCTTTTAAGAGTCTGCGTATCCTTCAAATGTACTTTGTCATCATTCCCTTGGGGTTCACCCAACACGACATTCTTAAATTATGTCCTCAGAACGGTATCGATTGGGTTTAAAATGATCTAATTATCCTGAAATTGCATTGAAAGCCGTACAGCACAAAAAATCTATACTAAAACAGCAGACAAGCATGGGAGTATGTTACAGGATGGTTCGATGGACACATTGTGCTGGAGGGACACTTCTTCACCTACTTCAAAGGATGCAAATGTGGTTACACGAAGTGATATTTGGCAATGCTATTACCAACACATTTTTGTGTTGAACTACCCCCAGGTAATCGAAGGATGTACACTGTAAGAACGTCGCTCCAGAATCAACACATCTTAAGTGTCGTATCTGGTATACCTCCTTGCTTCTGATAATTCTTAACGTCTGTAAGTCATACTGAATAACGATCATTGCCATCAAAGCCAAACGAATTATCCGTTCTTTGTCAAAACTATTTTCATTTAAGGAGACTAGAC